TTAGTTGGGCAGCTACCAGATCTAGGGGAGGCAGATCTGGGGCCCCAAGTTTTCCAATGCACTTTAGAGTCATCTTAGCTGTACTTCATCATCAAAAGAAAAAAAAACATACATTGCAGAGTAGAACCTCTTATCCACATAGTTCAATTTATGCCTAGTTATAAGGAAACATGTGAGGTATACTCTGGACCACCAGAGTGCAACACTATAGAGAAAAATCCAAACAAACAAACAACATCCCCCATAAAAACATTTTTACCAACTTAAATACTACAAGGAGGTGAAAGTACCCATGGGTTTTTGCACCAAGAACACACTCACCTACACCCTTCTGTTTGCATATTTACTGCTCAGAAACCATAGATGGCTCAGACTTGCTTTTAAGAGAAAGAACTTAGGAAAGAGAAGTTTGTAGTCAGAGATAGAAACCAGACAGCAAGATAGGTTTGCTGAAGCAAACTGTCAACTTGCTGCTCCTCAATGTAGTGGGTGAAAAGGAGGAGGGTTCAAGCTCAAACTCAGAATAGTTTTACTCATGGAAGTTTTAGTTTAAAATCTGCACCCTTCTTTTTTCTCTTCTTTCTCTTTTTTCTTTTCTTTCTTTCTTCTTCCCCCTTCCTTCCTTTCCTTCCCTCCCTCCCTCCTTTCCTACCTCCTTCCTTTATTTTGTTCTCTCTTTCCTCCCTCCCTCCATCCCTCCCTTTCTCCTTCCTTCCTTGCTTCCTTCCTTATTTCTTTTATTCCTTTTCTCCTTTCCTCTTCATCCTCTACATTTTGTCAACATATTTTTCTTCTTTACACAGAATGTGATATAAAGATATACTGGAAACTTGCCTTCTACTAACATATCTACTACTTTCTTCTTTCCCTCTTTAGTATTGAATGGAGAAATAGTTCTCTCCCAGTCTCCAACATCCCTTTATTTTCTCAAGGAGAGGGGGTCACTATTATCTTCAGGACCAACTCAGTTGGCATGTCTGTTAACTTACACTGGTACCAGAAGAAGCTGAGAGGCACCCATAAGCTCCTGATTTATGGCACATCCAACCTAGTTTCTGGAGTCCCAGCTTGTGTCAGCATCGTGGAGGGTAAAGATGCTGCCACTTGCTACTGTCTACAAAGAACAGTATCCCATTCACACAGTTATGAAAACTAGAAGAAAAACCCTTTTCAGCTTCTCAGAACCCTGCTCCTTTCCCCTCAGAAGATGATAAAAAGTTTCACTGATGTGTGTGAGATTCTCCCAATATTTCTGCAACAGAAATATGGCTGTTTTACTCTTGGGCCTTAAGGAGACACTCCCTGCAAAGAAGAAAATAAAATGTCCAGATGGAGATACTGGGATAAAACAACAAGAGGCCACTTCGTTGTGACATCCTGTGCAGAAGAATTTTGAGAGCTGTGATTCAGAGTTCCTGAACTGGGCACTGATCCTGGGGAAGATGTCACTAGGATTTTGAGAAAATATGTGGCACTTTAGGAATTCATGTTTTTATAACTGTTTCCAATTGATTGAGTAACAGCAGCTCTATCCCACAGTAGGTCTTCATGAGTGATGGTCTCTGTTTTCATGGGGAAGAACGAAAGAATGCTATTTCTAATCAACAGGGCTTTATTTGAACTAACTCAAATTTTGGAATGAAATTTTGTGTAGGAAGTAATAAAATCTCTACTCCATTAACTTTTAAAACTATATTCAATAAATTGTCACCAATATTTCCTAACTGCTTTAAAAAATTAGACTTTTTTCCTGATCAAGTCTGGGTTTTATGTAGATCTGCCTAGATTCAAACTTGTAGCTGAGGATGGATTTGAACTTTTGGCACTCCTGCCTCCTACTCCCAAGAGCTAGGACTACAAGAGTGCACCACCACCAAGCAATGTTCACACAATGCTGGGTCCTGAACACAGGGTTCTTTTTTCATATTAGGCAAGAAGTCCATCAATTAAGCTCCATCCAAGCAAAGTATTTTCTTACTTCTTAGTAGCAAGAATTGGACCCAAAAGGTGTGTGTTCTGCACATATTTATGTGTTACAGCCTATACATTGTTCTCCCTAATGTTTCTTGATCATTCACAGGAAGAAATTGTCCAAGGTTCAAGTCATTAGTTTTTGCTGAGGGCATTAAAATTGTCATTAATCATTGTTCATTTTTTTTTTTTTTTGGTTTTTCGAGACAGGGTTTCTCTGTGTAGCTTTGCGCCTCTCCTGGAACTCACTTGGTAGCCCAGGCTGGCCTCGAACTCACAGAGATCCGCCTGGCTCTGCCTCCCGAGTGCTGGGATTAAAGGCGTGCGCCACCACCGCCCGGCTCATTTTTTTCTGTGCTCCACTTGGCAAAGACCCAGTCTGTTTTCATTCTCACTGTCTCTCTAGCAGAAGCAGGCAACAACACAGGTCTATCAATCAAAATCACTGTCATTTGGACTGCTGTCCAGTAACACTGTCATACTAGGGACAAGAGAAGTTTCTAGTTTCTATTTCATTTATCATCTAGCATTTTCTCCTAGTCCCTGTCCACTTCTGTGAGACTGGTCTGAGCACATTTCATATCCACAGTTAGCCAGTGGAGAGCGGAGATCCTGATAATCCCTCGTTTTGTAAATGAAGAAAAGCCTCTTCTAGGGTAATAGCCCTGAACTATGACCTTCCTAGACAGGAAGATCAGCATTACACTTGTTACCTTTTCCATCTACCCATTTTAGTGCAGTGCAGAGCTGATGCAGCTGCTGTAGTGCAGATTCTTATAACCTGCTGGTTATAAGGAGGGTGCTGGTTATCACCCTAAAGAGTTTACGAAGTTGAGAACATAGGAAAAAAAATCATGACAGTAAGTCTGATAGAAAACATTAGACATAATACAGTTGAAATACAACATCTCCAAGGTGATCTCAAAGATCATTATAGGAAGTGAAAAGACAGGCAAGCTGTGACTTTTCCTTGGCTATGGAAAAGTCTCTTTTGTTCATTTTTTCTATCTTAAATATTGCTAGTGGTATGAATCTATGGAAATTAACTCTTTCTAGATTTTTAAGTCATTTACTTCCAATACTGAAATAAATTACCATTTTGATGGATTCTGTATGTTTGTGAGCATAATGTAATTGCTTAATCAAAGCATATGTGTGTTATCACCACATGAAATATATTTATATTAATGGATAGAATGAGGACACAGGGCATAATTTTCATCTCCACTGCAGATTCTCAAAGCCAATACTATGACCACATGTGTCAGAGTCATCTTTGTCATTGAATTCCATGTCAATTAGTTTCTTAACATATCCACCTACCTATTCTTTTTTATGCCACCCCAGTGCCCATCATCATTTTCAAAAAGGTTCTGGCAGAACTCTATCTCATATAAAATGGTTACTTGCATGCACATATAAAACTCTTTCCATTCAGTCCCTCATGGAAACTCACAATAAGCCTACCATACTCTTATTCCCAATGGGGATACACCCTGGACACTACTATGGCTATCATTTCCCATGTGTAGCTTCTACCTTAACTTTCTTACATGCTTCTCTCATCACACAGCTTGTGCTCCTCTGCTGTAAACCTAGAATAAGAGGCATATCCTCTTAGTATCTGGAAGAAATGTGGTACCCATGGCATAGACAAGTTTAGGAAACATTGTACATTCAGGTACACGAATGATATTTCTGACAGAAAGGTCATGTTTCTTAAGGCAATAACTTGTGTTAATAGAGAACGGAAGTCAGATGCAATAATGTGAAGCCTCACAGGAATGTTGGGCATGCATACAACCCTAGCCTAACCAAGGAAGAGCACTCATATCCACAGATGGAGGGGGAGAAAACCTATGACCTTGTCTGTCGTTGATAGTAGTTCTTTAGTATCTGAGCTGTCACAAATACTGTAAAAATAAGACAATTTACCTGAAAAAAAATGAGTTATGTAAGCTATTCTTCTTAATAAACCATGTCTTCCTATATGATTATATTACTTTTCTTGGAATCATTATGGGCAAAATGCTACTGGATGAGTTGTGGAGATCAGTCCCAAATGGATACATTTACAAACATTCCCATACTCAAGGCTCAGGCAATATTTTGGAAAAGGGGGTAGACAGATTGTATGAGCCAGAGGAAAAAGGATTTTTTTCTGAGACTGTGTTTCCTAGTAACATTAAAAGCTATAACTATAAAGTCTCATCCATGTGACAGCCCAAATGTGATACTAACAAGGTGTGAACCTGCCAAACTGCATGGGAAAAGCTCATGGGGCTTCAATTCTATACAAAGAACTACAGACAAATAAAGATGAAAGGAAGAGACATCTTTCTCCCCAGGAAAAAGCACACCAATTGGTTGTCCACAGCCTAATGGTTAATGCTGGAAACACACACACACACACACACACACACACACACACACACACACACACACACACATATATATATATATATATATATATGCAATAACAACTAATGTAAAAATGGCTATGATTTTGAAGAAGAGCAGGAAGGGGTATTTGGGAAGTTTTAGAGGGAGGAAAGTTAAGGCAGAAATGTTACAATTAAAATTCAATCTCACATATAAACAGTAAAAAAAAGATGAAGCTCATAACCTCAATAATATCTACAGATAACTATGAAAGGGCCCTGTAACCATTTATATACTGTGTAGAAGTGTATCATATGTCATAGCCCATGCCATGGAGGGAAACTGAACAGGAAATCCTATATTGAAAATGACAGAAATTGAAATAGGTGCAACTCATAGACTGGTGTGGTTCTTTGTTCTCCAAACAGGAGCATATTCCTTACAAATAAACTTGTATTACCTCTGTGATCTGAGACACAAAAGGATCACAGGTCTTTAATGAATCACTGATTTGACCAGTCCTTTGACTGTGCACAGACTTTGCTGATTTGCATGTGCTCAGAACACAGCCCACTGCCCTGAGGGATTCTTCATAATCAGGTCACACTCTGTAGTGGAGTCAGCCTTACACAGGTCAGAGCACAGACATGAGGGTCCCCACTCAGCTTCTGGGGTTGCTGCTGCTCTGGCTTACAGGTAAGGAAGACAGCATTGGAAATTTATTCATCTGACTGTCTCTAGGAAAGTCCTCTTATAACAGAATTAATTGTGTGGTAATTCGTTTTCAATTTTCCAATCTCAGGTGCCAGATGTGACATCCAGATGACCCAGACTCCAGCCTCCCTGACTGAATCTCTGGGAGATAGTGCCTCAATAACTTGCCAAGCAAGTGAGGACATTTACAATGATTTAGCATGGTATCAGCAAAAACCAGGGAAACCTCCTAAGCTCCTGATCTATAATGCAAACAGCTTGGAAGATGGGATCCCATCGAGGTTCAGTGGCAGTGGATCTGTCACACAGTTTTCTCTCAATATCAGCAGCCTGCAGCCTGAAGATTTTGCAACTTACTACTGTCATCAGGGTTGGAGGACCCCATCCACAGTGATTCAAGCCATGACACAAACCACACAGAGAAGCAGAAGTGAGAAGTCAGGCTGCACCAATTGCTCCTTCAGTGTTTTCCAGTTACTGATAATGTTCTCTTAGTCAAGACTTAAAAGTCAATGTGATGTTTTTGAATAGGGATCAGAGAAAGTTTTTTAAGTCCTAAATCTCTGTCTTCATGCACAGCACTAGCAATAAATACACAGACTGCTTCTCATGACTCACATGAAAAATACCTTTTCCTGAGTAAGTATCAGAGTTATGACAGCAACTTGGATTAAAAAAGAGACAGCAACACTCCTATATATATATATATATATATATATCTTCCAAATATATATCCCATATATATATAGCTATAGTTATAGTTATATAGTTATAGTTATAGTTATATCATTACAATCATGATTAAGCAGGCAGGGGTGGCTTAGTACTTAACAGCACTGCTTACACTTCCAGAGGACCAAGGTTTTATTCCCAACACCCACATAACCACTAAAAACCATCTATAACTCCAGTTCTACGATGTCTGAGCCCCTCTTCTGGTCTTTGAGGGGATTGTATTCATGTGGTATACAAACATATGCAAGAAAAACACCAACACACATAAAATAAAAATAGGTATTAAATAATTGAAAATTTCAAGGGACTAGTATTCAAACGAACTAACACTGGGAACAGATTCTTGTCAAATCTATATTCCATTTGTCACTAAAAGTAACTCTTCCTGACCACAGGGTCCTGAACTAGGGTGTCAACTCTCATATCATATGCATAGATTGGAGGAAAATTTACTCAATCATTCATTTTTCTCCTTACTAGAAAGGCAAAAGTCTTGGTTGCTTTACTATTGCTGTGACCAAATATTATGACCAAGGAAATCTATAACAGAACGCACTTAATTTGGGGGCTCAGAGTTTCAGGTTACTCCATGATCAACATGGTGAGAAAGCATGGCAACAAGCAGGTAGTCATGGTCCTGGAGCAGTAGCTAAGAACCTACATCTTTATCTGCAAGGGCCATACAGAGTGAGGGATTGGCTTTAAAACCTCAGAGCATACCCCACTTGACCTATCCCCTCTAACAAGGCCATACCTCCTAATCAATCTCAAACAGTCTAATAATTGGGGACCAGGAATTCATATGTATGAGCCTATAGGGGACATTTTCATTAAAACCACCACAGCAAGTAAGATTTCCAAGACAGAACACTATCTGGAAGGACTGAGTCAGAGTGGAGCAGGTAAGTGTAGGGATAGCTTAGCAAGCTTGAACCCATCTTGGCTTGAGTTACATTCCTTTCCAAATGAAATACTTATCAACTTGGAAGTACAACTTCATTGAGCTGCATGCACAGCACTCTCCTACCAAAGCAATCATATCATTCTAACCCAAGGTTTCATAGCTGCCTCTAGTATGACCATATAAACCTATAATGATATAATGAAGTAGGCATAGCCTAGAACTGACTTTGGGAAGTAAACAGTATCCTTAAAATAACGTTCTATGAAAAATGTCCTATTTACTATCTTATGCGTAAGCATGATCTACCATGCATATTTCTGCAATAAGATACATGTTGGAAAAAGGCTTCATGAATTGAACAAAGCCTAATAATCAAAACAGATAATCATATACATTAGACCCCTCATCAATCATCACCACCTTCTTTTGAATGACAAATCAGAAGGTCCTAGAATTATTTACTGAGGAAATTTCATACAGGGACATCTGTTTTATTGCAGTGTATCTGCCCTGCAGTTCACTTTAACTTTTAATAAAATAATTGATGCTTTGTTACAACATAGATCACAGTAAGACATTCTTCTATTAAAAGTAACACGAGTTTTATGCTCATCTTTTCTATAATCAATTTCTTCATTAACTTCCCCCAAATGCTCCTGCATAGTTAGTGAAATTGCTCATTTTCCATCTGTTCTATGACTCTATGAAGTTCCTCCTTTTACTGATCTGAGACTTTCTGAGGATGCTTCAAAGGTTATCTATACATATTACAAATATTACCCCAATAGTCAACTTTCTGAAATTTCATGACAGTAATGACAGTTGTGACTATTGGCAACACTCAGGAACAACATTGGTATGCCTGCGGAGATTTGACGACAACATTGTTAGGTGTCCTCTACCTTCATGGTAGAGAGCTCTGAGTATAGAACAGCACTAGAAAATGTTTCAAGTAAAAATGTTCACAATTTTAAGAGATAACAAGTAAATTAATTGTTGTTATTCAGATTCCCATTGCATATATTGAAACAATCACTACATGCATATGTACAATGGCTTTTGTTTTCCTGTGTACTTTACACCTGATGCTGACACAGCTATTCCAGGCACAAAAATAGTCTTTTCTTACAGAATCAGGATTTATTATATATGTTCATTTGGTGTTGAGCTGTTGCAGATTTAGGTAGACATCAGTTTCCTGTGTCCTAACAGAACTTCCCAGTGATCTTTAAAGACCCTGTCTACAAAAAAAAAATGCTGTCAACAGATGGGGACATGTGGAGGAACAGCTGGAGCATCCTGGCCTTACTCTTCTTGCTGGAGGGGTTTGTGTTATTATAACGTGAATCACCACAGCAAAGGTATCATAGCTTTGTTGACAATAATAAGTTGCAACATCTTCAGATATCAGGCTGCTAAGGGTAAGGGTGAGGATGAAATTTGTCCCAGAATCACTGCAACTGAACCCTGATAAAACCCCCATTGTAAACAGATTGCATCCTATAGCATGATCTTAGAAATGTTTCCTGGTTTCTTCTGGTGCCAGTGAAAGTAAGTGTTAATAACTGACATGCCTGGCATGGAATATTGACACTCTTCTATAGTTGTCAATGGGAAGGATAGATACTGAGTCATCAGTGTGTTGTATCTAACTTCTAAGACTGGAAAATTAAAAGCAAATATATACACAATAAAAAATATTCCTAGAGGATTTTTCAAAGACCAAGCAGCAATGATCACTATGATTGGAGAAATCTTCAGAGTTAACCTGTCTCTCACCTAGAACAGAGTATCAGCACTCCTGGGAATTGGGTGAAAACTCCCATGCCCATGCTTTGTCTTAATTGTAACTGATGCCTGTACAGGTTGTGGCCAGATTATTCAAGAAGTGTGCATGCAGTAGTTTGTGTTCAGGAACATGCAAATAAGAAGGAACTGAGAGGTACTGGGCTCAACAGTCATGAATATGTATTGTATATTTCTCTTGAGTTTCATGATACATTATGGTGTTTCATGTGCTTTTTTCCTAAGGTATAAACATCTTCCACCTGTTCACATGACATTAAATGTACAAGAGAAACTTACTCTGTTTTGTTCTCTGAGCCAAATTTGTACTAGTTGTTCAAGGAACTATTGTAACAAATTACTAAAATCTGTGGTTTAAATGAAGGGTATGTAATCTCCCACAGTTCTAATGAGAACAACTGTAGAATTGCATTCAATGAGTCAAGAACAGGATGCTTGTGATGGGATTTAGAGATGTTTTAAGGGAGACTTTATCCATTGATTGTTTCAGACTTTTTAGCTATCTCTTCTCTGTGGCTATATCACATCACCATTTTTCTTCATGCTCACATGTAGTTATTCTATGTCTGCAATAAATCTATTAGTCAATTTTTTAATTACATCTAGGACACAATTAGTTAATCAGGATGCTTCAGATAAGGGCTAAAACTATGACATACACTTAGGAATTAAACTAGTAACATCAAACTTTTTCTGAATGTACACTGTATTATCCCTCTGTTTCTCCCTCCTTCCTCTACTCTTTCCTTCTTTCTGTGACTTTTAGTCTCTCTTACCCACTATAATATTTAAATCACTTCCCTTCCCCATAGCACATGTATCATTCTTAGAGGGTTACAGTAGGAGGTTTGTTTTGGATTTGCATGAAAAGCTGTTGTGTCCCAGTCCTCATGCTGGAAAAGAAAACAGCCATTGATGATACTGAAGAATATGGACAGTAGTACTGACTACACATAATGTTCATGTGCATGTCCTATTAAAACATCTCAGTCTTCTTAAAAACTTTTTTCTTGTTTTTTTGAGAATTTCATGCTTTCATATACTACGTTTTGACTAAAGTATAAAATGTACATTTATGAAAATGTAAAAATAAACCCCATATTATTTGTAGTATTTAAAAATATCTCTGGATCTTTTCAGCGTTCTTCATCCTGTAGCCTCAGGAAGAAAACTTTAGTCCCCTAACTCATGGAGAAATCAAATATGCCCCCCAATTTAAACCATTCACTCATTTATGTGAGACTTGTGAGGGATTAATTAAGTCAATAAGTTATCCAGAGCATGAAAATGACTACAATTTTGAACAACTCTCTTAATTAAGTGGCTGTTTTTAGAAAAGCATATTTTAAAATGTTCATATGAGAATTGCTTTTCTGAACATATTATAGGCTCAATGATGAGGTACTTTTCCTAAATGATGAACATGGCAATCACTTGGACTGAAGTATGGAACCCATTAAACAGAACACACCAATCTGATACAGATATCTTTTTAAAATATAAAACATCATTAGTACTACTGAGCAATCTATCAAGCCCCAGAGAGATTTTTCTACTCTCAAAATATGGGACTGAAATCAGTTCACTAAGAGACCTGGTGAGAGGTCTCAACAAATAAAAGTTACTGCCATTAAGGAAAACAACTTGATATTTTCCCTGAACCAATATGGTAAGAGAGGACTGACTCTCACGTGTTGTCCTCTGCCCTCCACCTGTGTGCCATAGAATGAACATGTATGGTGATATTTTATTTGTATTAAAATGTTATTTGTATGTTAATAAATAAAGTTGCCCGGGGGTCAGAGCTATTAGCAAGCCATAGGAAAGCAGGGCAGTGGTGGCGTACGCTTGTAATTCCAGCACTTGGTAGGCAGAGCTGGGTAAGTCTCTGTGTGTTCAGGGATACAGCCATTATTGGATACACATGCCTTTAATCTTAATACCAATCATGGAAAACCTGGAGGCCTATACAGACGGGCCGTGAGGAGGCGGTCATGTGGTTGGGTTTACAACCAATGAGAAGGCAGGACAGGAACTCTATATAAAGACT